CCCCTGGTGCTGGATAACTGATGAGGTATAATCAGGTTTAAGTTCCGATGACACAAATATGCAAAGTGGGTCAGGAAGTGAATTAGTAAGTGATTCTGCCCAATGACACAGATAATTATGTGTGAATGTTATTCAGATCTCTTGTATGTGTTTTTAAGTGTACTGGGAACATCAGGGGCGTTGTTTTGTCTAATGTCTGGATGAATGCAGCCTCTGTTGGTTTAGCTTTTGACTGACCGGCAGATGTTGGAGTCTTTGCTGTTGTGCGTGTACTCTCATGTACGTCCAAGCATGTACATTTACAATGTGTGTGTTCACCACCATGTTTGGAAAACTCTACCCACACCAGGGAGCAGCCAAGGTCTCGCTCTTCATTCCTGGCCTGACATTCTTTCCTCCACTTTAGCTCACGTGCGGTTTCAAGATAAAAGCCTCCATTCATTAATCTGACTGAGGGCCCAACGTAACGGCAGGATACCCCATCCTTGTCTGGCAACAGCCAGGGCCACATTTTATCCGGTGCTGGTGGCCCTCACATTAAAAACAACCAGTGGCACAGGACATGTTCTGCAGTCTGTGTGTGTCTGTTTCAGGTGCACTATGTTCCGCAGTCTTTCTTGTACTCTACATATATCAAAAACAGCAGGAATGTTCGGGGTTTTCCAGGTTTATTTACCCTTCACAAGCTCGCTATGTTGCGTATACTTTCTTTCTCTTTCTCTTTTATCCTGACTTTTATCTCCCCTGCCGAGCTGCCAAAACTCGACCACATACCCCTACGCTCTGTCAGTAATGAGGCATATGCCTGTTTTGTGTGTCATACAGACGTGTGCTATCATGCTTGCTTGCAAATCTTCTGCTTGCTGCTGCACTGCCAGGAGGGAAATCCTGCAAGAGTAATGGGGACAGAAGGTAACTTCCTTCAGCTGCTACTGCTGTGAATTCAGTCAATTGATCACATTCTATTTAGAGTGATTGTTCACCCTAAATATGTAGTATTTCTTGCCAGTTACAATGCATTCCAATAGTGACCAGTTGGCGTGATGGAAAAGGATCAAAACATGCAAAGAAGCCTCTCAAACTGCAGCAAATCATCACTTTGCTGCCCCATACTATCCCAAACAGTTCAATTTAGAGCCTTGGCGTTAAGCTCTTCCATTGGTCATAAACACACGATCGTTGCTCACTTATTGACCAGCCGGATGAATGCACTTCTGGCTCTTTCATTTGTCTTAATTGCTATTTAAAGGGACCAATTACCTCACGAAAACGGTCACCGTCTGCCATATTTTACAAAAATGTTGATGTTTGGAGCATGCAGAACATAAGCCCCTTTCGCAAATGCACTGCAACCCTTAAATTCTGTAGACGTTTCCGAAGAAGCTGTAAGTGAGGATGCAAATGTCCAAATCCATTGATCCGGAGATTAAACAGACTTTACCCTGCCAGCTCCTTTGTGTTATGTCCGATTGAGCCCATGTGTCAATAGAACCCGTCAGTGTCGATGGGGTTTCTAACATGCGGCTGGCATGAAACCAGAACAATACAAACATCTGAGGGTGAAGAAGAAGGGTCCTTTACACAAATACGCCAAGGAAAATGTCTAACTGGAAAAACATTGAGATTCGGTAACTACTGTCGGTAAGGGCTGACGGCAGAATCGCCAGACAAATTCAACAAACGGCAAGAGACTCGGTTGTTTATGAACAAATTACTAAAAGGCCACAGGACAGTGGTGTTTTGAAACATTTTAATGTTGTGTAACTGTTTGTATTTATTCGATTTTAGGCTTGTATCTTTGCATAAAACATTGCAAAAGATAATTATGAAAACATAACTCATTAAAAATAACTCAGACTTCTGCATTCATGGCCAACTTAATGGCTTTTGTCACTAAAATCAACCAACTTTTAATGAGTGCATTTCTCAAACGCGATACCATAAAATCCAGCAACTTCACTGTCGGCAGAACAGAACAAAAGAAATGAGACTAAAAATCAATCTTAATATGTAAAAAATAATATAATTTTCAAACATAACCTGCATCTGTTAAAGCCACAATCTACTCATTGCTCCAATGGTCGCATATGGTCTCCTATGTCTCAGCTACAACTCACTTGAACGTTACACTGCACTGGGTCAGTGATACTGTGTCTCAAGATATTTCACTCCACTGCTGTGAATATTACAAAAGGAATGTGGGAGTAATGTGAAAAGTCGCGGCTCACATGTAAACATCTCCTCATAAACTGGTATGATTTGCAAAAAAATGAAATTCTCTCCCCTATTAAACCATGACGTGTGCGAATCTAACAAATGGGTTACGTGTTAGTTTACATCAGTAAAACAGAAATGTCCATGCCTTCTGTAACACATCCAAAGTTTCCACTCTTTCAGAAAATAGCACGGCGGTGCGTAACTGTGGGCGAAACTGTGACTATGAATGTGGTGGAGAAGAGAGTGGGGGTTTACACATGTGTGAACTTGTATGCCATTAGAGGATTTTCCTGCACACATGGGAGAACCTTCATTTGACATGACCAGGAAGTGAGTCACTTTCGTGTGGCCGTGGTTATGAAGAGTAACACATTTTTTTTTTAGCCTTTTTGTTCTAAAGAAACATTTTTTATTTTTTTTTAGTTTCAGATAAAACAAAACCGTAGCAATGAATAAACCTTTTAAATGTTACAATTCTCTTCCTATATTAAGAGAGTGTGTGGTGTATTTCATTTTATATTATGTGACTGCAACTTTTTGGAACTTACATGCACTTTTAAATAAACATAACAGCCCAATTATCACTTTTTTATACATTACAAGAAGTAAAATAATACAAAGATATAGAGGAGAATATGTCCAACACGCCTATTGCCTTAAATCCCTGAAGCTTTAATTCTAAGAAAAAGTTTACATATTTTACTGAGTCGGCTGCACATTTTCCATTGAAAGCTAGACAGTGAATAATAAGTAAAAAAGTCACACTTTCGAGTATCATGTCACTTTTCTGAAAAAGGAAGACTCAAAACTCTCAAGACAGCTGAGAGGTCAGATAAGTGACATCATGAAAACACTGGAGAATACTCAACTTAGTACATCTCTATTACTCTGATGGTTTTTAAGTCTAGATTTTGTGTGCGTTTCTGCACACCTCCAGTGTGATTTACATCATGGTTGGAGCACTCAGTGGGTCGTCGTTACTGTCTGTAACAAACAAAGCACAGCAGCCTGTACTTTTCCACTGATTATAATGAGCAAATAGGGACTGTCCGCTGAAAAGAAAGCAGATTCCACTGCTTCCTGGCACAATGTTGTTGGCCGCCCACTCTGCGTTTGACGGGATCATACACTCTTTCAGTTGATAGAGACTCTTCCTGTTGCATATGTGGATAAACAGCCACACATTTGCGCACACACACACACACACACGCACACACACACGCTGAGAAAGAAAGCGAGAAAGAACCAGGCACTGAGATAATGTAAACTGTCTTGCTCTCTCTTCCTGTCTCTGTCTCTCACACACACACACCTGTTCTCTAGCTGGAACACCACGGCCTGACCTGATAATAAGCAGCAATAAAAAAAAAAAGATCATTACCAGAAACAGTCTGTCAACCTGTTGTGACCAAATGTTTACAAATACCAGTTGTTACAAATGAAGATCTTGCAGTGTAAAACAGAAATAGTTTCAAAATGTGTACTACTTTTAAATAGATGACTACATCTTTAGGTCAAACAACTCCTAATGAGGTACATTTTGCAATGTCTGACCCACAGCTTTATTAAGCAAACTTACACTACCCTCAATACATTCTGGTCACTTGTAAAAAAAATTGGAGAAATGCTGCTGAACCACTTCCTTAGTTAATTAGACTGCATAGGATTAAAAAAAATAATGCATTGTCACAAAGCGTAATACTGGGCTGTCTTTCTCAGCTCGTGAACAGTTGAAGTTTTAGAGACACGTGGTTTTCACAGGACAGGTCCGGCTGCTGTAGATGTGATTCCTGAACAAGAGAACTCAAAACTACTGAAGCATGACATGAGATAAACAGTGTCATGTGTTTCTATTTGAAGGGGGGCTTTATTAGACACTGTAGAAAGTTGAAATGAAGAGGAGGGAGAGACATGGGGAATGGCATGAAACAAAGGCAGCTGGTTAGCATGTTAAACTCCGACAGGCCACCAGGACGAACTGTAGGAATGTGTTTCTTTGTGGAGAATGGAGACCAGGAAGGCTACTGCCAACAAGAACCCTTCCTATGTATGGAAAATGAACAAGATCGAGATCTATACAACTCAAAACCTCTCCTCTAACAGAGTAACTAATACTAAATGGGTAAAGATGTAAGCACACGGCGCTGGATTCAGTCATAGGTGGTGGAGAACATTAAAAATGTTTTTATCTGGATTTACGGGAAGTCAAAATTGGGGCCAATTTTGTGTAATCTAAAAGTCCATTCCACCTCTGAGGTGGATTGAAACTAAATGCTGTTCGTTTGCCCTCTGGAAACAGTTAGCAGATAATTACCAGATCAACCAAGCACAATCAGAGATGTTCCTAAACCATGGACGGATTGGATTATGGATACAGCAAAGTCAATGTTACTGTTTAGGCCTATTTCACTACATATTCTGTCAGCCTTTGCTTACGGACGGAATTGTAATAGAATACGAATGTAAAGTAGTTTTAGTTGCTGCCGCAGATTCCAACTTCTTCTACTTTGTCGTTTTCTTTGTTGTCGTTTGCGTTTGTTTCCTTTTCTGTTTTTTCTCCTCTCTCCCCCTACCTCGCGTAATTCCGACAGCCAGTGAACGCGGCGCGGCTTCATGCTGCGTCTACCTCTGTTTATTTTCAGAGCAGTGACGCGGACGCTGCACTCCGCCTATATGGGGCTCGTCAGACGGTGGCGGGGACCGGGATTGGTGAGCTGTTGTTGCTGTAGCAGCTTGTGTCGGCGCTGTGTGGAGGGAGGAGGAAGAGGGGGGGTATAAAAACCCGCTCCAGCGCTGAGAGCTTCACTCTGGTGGAGGAAAGTGAGCACGGAGGGTTGGTAGACGTGGCACCAAGTGACCCCCCGCAACTGCCCCCTGTATTTACAAACAACAGGCGTCTATTTGCCCCACAACCCTGTACCGTCCCGGCACACGGACTCTCTCTGAAGGAGAACTCCCCTCGACTAATAAATGCCAAGAGGAAAAACGAAAGAGCCAACTGATCAGGATCGCCGCTCGGACGAAGTGGAGAAAAACGGTCGGACGAACACGTAGTGACGAAAACAAAGCACGGATCGCCGCCGTTACCGTTCTCAATGCATACCCTTTGTGCCCGGGGAACGATGAAGCCAGAGATCACCGCCGCCGTCGGATTTCTGTCGAGATTTCTGCGGGTAAAAGGTCACGTAAACGACAGACAGGTCCAAACATTCAACCAAAGCTTACAGGATATTTTGTCAGGTAAGAAAAACACACAATCCTCTTTGCGCCCACAAGACACCAGTTAAAAACACCTCACCGTATACGCTACACTCTCACACGTTTAGGTTCGGTGTCGTTGTAGCGTCAAATGCATAAATTCGGCTTTTGTTTGGGTTTAGATTGATTCAGAAGAAGCCTTTCTTTGTTCTCGCAAGTATCACTGTCAGCGCTACCAACGCGCACCGCCGTTTGCGCACATCGAAAAGGGAATGGGGAAAAAAACACGAGTACACACAGCGGGCGATCTTAATCGAACGATTTGTCGACGATTAAATTGCTACAATCGGATATTTTATTCCCGCAAAGATACAAAATGAGGCGGTTGGATGTGTTACTTTGTTTGGAAGAAGAAAAGGAGGAGGAGGAGGAGGAGGAGGAGGGAGGAGGGGGGTGCGAAGAGCCTCAAACAAGGAAGTGCGCCTCGGTCGATAAAGCTCTCAGAGAACTGAGCAAAACAGCCCCCAGTGAGGCTGCTCAATTACGTAATGCATTGGACGAGATGGGTTGATAATGAAAACAAGTCCAATACCAAACCAACCTGCAGCACTGGCGCTTACAAACATATTTATTTTTATTTTATAAACAGTCTTATTTGAAAACATCACATTTTGCGACGTGTGTGTGTGTGTGTGTGTGTTTCAACAGTGAGGGAATGACCTTGTTGGTTTTTTTTTCCCTGGCATTTAACGTTACATTTTGACCTTGTTTACGGTGATATTATGTTTTACCACGTCTCCCGTTCATTTTAGCACATTAGCTATTTACAGAGAAATCACACTTTCTCGATTTATTCTGCAGAAAATTCAGGCTTGCATATTTTTATTTTTTATTTTTTTTGTATTTTTCGTTTTTTTAGAGAACTGTGCTGCTCGCGGATTGTGTCTAATTTTCTGCTGTGAACACATTCCAGCCAGAGAGCTCTTAAGCTTCTATACATCTGCCTCCATATACTAAGCAGATGTCCTACATAAGGAGCTCACTTGTATAAAAAAAATGTACTTTGCAGATGCAGTAGGCTAGTATGACCATTGTTGTAGGTAAATAACATCTCCAGTTAGAATATAACTGGTTGCCCAAAAAGAACGACACAATACCATTTAGTACAAACTGCAATTCATTGTAGGTGGCCTTAGGTGCCTGTGTAACATGGGCATACGTGTTGTTTGAAGCAAATCTTGAGATAAGATTTCCCAAAAAATATCATCACTAAGCACATTTCGACAACTGTTTGTAAACAAGACAACAGTTTGAGTTGTATGGACTCCGCTGCCGTGAGGTCTGCATGTGGGGGAGGGGATGTTTTTCCCGGTGGGCGCCTATAGGAGGACATGAAAGACACAGGCAGTGTAATCGGAGGGGAAATCCACTAAAATGAATTGGACCTCGCTGTATATTTAGTGCACATAAACATGAATTATATCAAAGTAATGTGAATTGTAAGGTTCATCTGTCGTGTGCAAGACTTGGATGCGATGATATTGTATTTTGAAACTGTCGTTAACTGATTTATAGTCCAGTTCAAACCAAAATGTCCAACGCGGTCTCATTTTGTGCGCGAGGCAGAAACAAAAGCATGTGGTAGTATTCTGTGAGGGCTCGTTGCTACTAAACTAGGCCAGCCGGAGCTCTTTTGTGCCTGGAAACGCCACAATCGCTCACTATTGTGTCTGCCTGCTGAAAAGCTAGGGGTGCCTAGCTCCCCTTGCTTGTGCTGAGCGAAGGGAAGTGTGCAAACTAGGCCCAGTGACCAGATTTCAAATCACGATAGTTGTGTAATAGTTTATCAGCAGCAGTGGGATTTGATGCTCATCCAGAAAATGGGTTTGATGAAAACAACCTTGCAGAGCGAGCCAAAAGAGAATCTCCGTATGTTGTGTTTCTGGTGGTCGAGGTATAAACACTCTGTTGTTAAACGGAGTCAAGCGCACACTGGTCTGCTTTCTTTTGTGTTACCTGTCTGTCCCTTCCTCCCATGTGCCCTCCTTTTTAAGAATCGGCCCTGTTGAGCTGATCTTTCCCCAGCTGCTCCAGTGTTTGAGGGTAGCGGCCTTTTGTGGCTCAGTCCGAGGCTGAAAGATCATTCAGGCCCTTGTGCTCTTTCACGAGTGCCAGTCCGTCCATTAGCTCGGCACTATACAGCCTTCTGTGATAAGACCCGGGGGGAGAGGGAGGGGGTTGTTTTTATCCGGTGGATGCATACAGGTGGCCTTCGGGCCCCTGGCCTGAATGCTGGCCTACTTCACTTACCCTGTTTCTCTTTGTCCACAATGAAGTTGGAATCAATGGCAATTCAGTGTGGATGCATCTTGTCAGAGTAAGGGGGGGGGGGGGGGGTTTAAAATTTCCCAAGAAAGAAAGTTAGTTTTTTTTTTTTTTTTTTTTTATATGCCAAAAGTGAATTCATGCAAGGAAAGAGTGAGCCATATTTTACTTCCTCAAACACCCAAAATCTGTCAGAGACAGTCACCAGTATAATTTTCTCCTCATCGTCGTAACCACTAAAATGCCTTGAGCGTATGGTAAGCAGCATTGAAAAATAAACTTCCACACAGACGGGGACGGAAAGAAAAACAAGGTCCTCTCCCTTTAAGAGGCGGCGCCTGGTGTCCCCGATGGCCGACACTTTTGGTGTTTTTTGTTCAGCCAGTCATGGGCGAGTCTGTCACACTGACGACAGCCAGGGGAGGGATTGTGCAATTCAATGGCCCTCTTTTTGTCACGTAGGCCCGGGGTGCCACTGGCCGCCTGTTTATGGCTGCTTATCAGGACTCTAACAGGTGGTGCTTTTCTGTCCTTTCTTCATCTACTGAACACAACTGTGCCCTGCACTTTAGTGTAGATACGTTTTGTTTTATGGGCGATAGGCGAGACACTTGCAAGACATCCACACAGGCAGACTGTAACATGATTTACATATTCCTAAAATGTAATGGATTACAGTAATTATAATTTTCTCTAAATAGGTAGAACGTTACAGTTCATGCTTTTTGCAAGATATTTTATTTTGACGAGTCGGATCCCAACTTGCCTCCTGGCAAAATAGCAATACATGAGATTAAGATCTACTCCTCTTAATCATTAAGCCCAATTCTTATTGGAGACGACCCAAATGTACACACTCGGACAGTCGGTAATGTTTTCAATGGGATTTAATTAATTACATTATTTATTGGTTTATTTGGTAGGGAAAGTGCACGTTAATGAATATTACTATAAATGCACCAGAGCTGGCCAAAATCATTATCTGTAGTCCTGGACTACAATTGGTTAAAGCATTTATATGATAAATAAAGACTTAACACATATTTTTCATCGTCCTTTCAAGACCGTGTGTTTGTTCTTTTTACAATGTTCCCATCTTAAACAGTTTTTACAGCCATGGTATGGTATTTTTATTGGATCATGTTTGACTTATCTGACACAGTTTCGACCTTTGGACGGCCTCGGTTCACATCCATGTAGTCGGTGTACAACAACACATTCTTCTCCTCTTATTGGCGCACATGACGCGATTTTACCCGCTTTACATGTTATTACAAGCAGCCCGATGGTAGTCACTGCAAAGCTTAACTTTCTCTCTCTCTGTCTACTTTTCTCTCCCCTTTGTCTCTGCAGAGCAATACAAGCACCACTGGTTCCCAGACAGGCCCTGCAAGGGTTCAGGTTACAGATGCATCCGCATCAACCACAAGATGGACCCACTGGTGGGGCAGGCGGGCCAGCGCATCGGCCTGACCATCCAGCAACTCTACCAGCTGTTGCCCAGTGAGCTCACGCTCTGGGTGGACCCCTTCGAGGTGTCCTACCGCATCGGCGAGGACGGTTCCATCTGCGTCCTGTACGAGTCGCAGCCCTGCCCCGTAGTAATGCCGGCGATGGTCACCGTCAGCTCCCCCTCAGGAAACGGTATGTCGGGGAGCCCCATGGTGGACAGTCGCATCAGCTGCAAGGAGGAAATGATGGTGCTGGGCAGAGCCAGTCCCTCCAAAGCCTACAATATGATGACTGTGTCCAGTTAAAGAGGCCCACCGTCACCCACCCCGGCCTACTTTTGTTCTGTGTCCCGTCGTGGCTGGTCAGATCGTATGATCAGATCAGGGTGAGCCTTTTTGAAGCTAAGAATATGAAATGAAATAGTGAAAGAAGAAAAAAGAAGAAGAAGAAAAAGGATGTGGCCTATCATCCAGGTGATGGAAACCTTGATATTTTTTACCCTCTCCCCCCATTAGCATCTGTTCTGTTGAGTCATTGGATCAGCTCGGCACTTATTTTAGGAGAAGCTTTGTGGAAATGGGACTGTTGGGGCAGCTAAACAACCAACCAACCAACCAACCAGGAACCCCCTCGACTATAAACAACATGGTGATCAGCTCCACCTCCCAAGGGGCTATCATTGACTTTGCACTTTCTTACTTGTGGTTACGATGGGTACATGTTTAACACACCACAGCAAAACACCAGAACCTAAATTGTAAGGTTTTGTTTTTTTTTGGGTTTTTTTAAATCAGGAACCCTACCCCTTGAATTTCAAAATCCTGAGGTTTTTCAATTTGCCGTTTTCACTTGTTTTGTTTCTTGGGTGGGGAGGAAGTTGAGGTTTAGACTGAAGCCTTTCACAATCCAAGCTCAAGGTAAAGAAACACCCAATGAGAGCATCTCTATTTTCTATAAGACCCCCTTTTTGGACCACAGGGAATTAGTTTTCTTTATCTTGTAGCTGGAAAAAGGCTTTCAGTCTCAACTTTGCCTCCCCCCCTCCCCTACCATCAACACAGAGCCTCAGAAAACCATCATCTCAGCGTTCTCTCTGTAAGTGCAAGTGGAATGTGTTACGACACCTGCTACCTGTGGATACCAGTGTGTCCCGTTGCACTGTCGCCCTCCCATCACCCATGTATGTGTAGCTTTCCAGGGGGAGGGCAGGGGATCCGTCTCCTATTCCCCCTCCCCCGAGTTAATGAATGTTGTTGAAAATCACAATCAAGTTCCTGTGTTGTTAATATTGCCCCCTTTCCTCCAACCACTTTGTCATCTCACGCATCGCCAAAATTCAAAGTGTAGCAAAAGGGGGGGCCTATTTTACCCAAATTTTCGTCTCGTGGCCCTGAATTGACGTTGAATGCACTTTGACGTGAGATTGTGTGGGATGTGTACTTTGTAGAGAAAATCGCCTGCATTCCATCCATTCGAATGTCATCTTTTCGCGCCGTTTTTATTGCCCTCCCTATTCTTAGCCGTTTGTTCATACTGTAGCTCCCACGTTGGGATAGACTAATGTCTATTAAATCGGAAGTGTGCAACTCTGGATTTCAAAACTTTTTTTTTTTTTTTTTTTTTTTTTTTTTAATGACACTGTATTTGTGAACATTTCAGAGCGCTTGATTTGGAGAGTATTTTAGGTGGTATGTTAGAAACATTCTGTCATCCGTTCATATGGCACTGTTCGCTCTGGCAGGACGCAGAGCTAAGCTGTCCCCACCCCCCCCCCCACCCCCAGATGGTGATTTGTGTTGCGCATAGAAGAAAAAAAAAAGTTAGTCCAGACTAAGTGATGACTGTGTAAGACTTTGGCCAAAGGGAGGTCTGGAGCACCAACTGTTAAGAAATTAATTTGAACTTAAATTACAAACACCAGGCCTTGTCAGCCTTCTATAATCATTAACATTTATTCCCATGGTCTTGTAAAAAAAATGAGATCCTTATATGTGCATTGGAGGTTCATTGCCTTACGAAGACCTCATTGTCATGAATTATGAGCCATTCGTGATTTTTAAACTAATACCAGGCGTATGTGAGCCAGCCTGGTTCATGCGCTGCCCGGACCCTCACTGGAGGTGTCCATTTTCCAGCCTGGCAGTGTCAAATCCCCCCCCTTCCTCTCCCTACACTCCTCCTGGTGTGTGGGGGTCAGAGTGCCTCACGTGCCACATATCACCCCTCAGCTCAGACCTCCTGTTCAGGCAAAAGCAAGCCAGCTTGCTGCTAGCGGACCCCCTGTGGATGCAGGTGGACTTAATGTGACACATATCATCATCCATCACTGTGGGGAGCTGGGTAAGGAAGGCGGGATGGGAAGCTGGTGTGAGAGAGGGGTGGTGGGGGGGCCAGGGCCGGACTCTTTTTGTCCAGGGCAGCTAAAATCCCTCCAGCCCCCCCCACCCTTCTTGACTTATTCAACATCCCCCCCCCCC